ATTCTGTTATTTGTTCTGATTCTATAATAGTAGAGAGTAGAGACTGCTTCTTCTTCTTTTTCCCAGAAATTCTTTGTATTTTTCCAGTTTCACTCGATTTGTCGCGGATAGTTAAGTGATTAACGAAGATAGGAGTAGCAATTAACGAAGATGGGTTTATCTTTTTGTTTGATGATTTTGTGTGGCTATTGAATTTAGTTCATCAGAAGATGTTTGCTCGAAACTTGTCTCTATGATTGTTGATAAACTGTTTGGTGTTGTTTATGTGTGTAAGGCATGTTTGGAACATGGATTCTTCTATGCCAAGAATCATGGAATCTCGGAAAAATTAATGGAAGAGGTTTTCAAAGAGAGCAAAGGCTTCTTTAATCTTCCTCTAGAGGAGAAAATGGCTTTACTCCGGCGTGATTTGCTTGGTTATACTCCGTTGTACGCCGAGAAACTCGATCCGTCCGTGACCTCTATAGGTTGGTGATGTTGTTTGTAGCATTGCATATGGGATTGTTTTCTTGCTGAAGTTGATGTCTTCTTTTTGTTAGGTGATTCAAAAGAAAGCTTTTATTTTGGCTCTTTGGAAGGTGTTCTTGCTCAACGTTACCCAAATCAATGGCCTTCTCAAGGTAACTTCTTACTATACCTGTTTCATTAATCGGTTTTTGATCCGTCTCTATCTCTCTCACGGGTTATGCTGTATGTGAAGATCTCTTGCCATCATGGAGGCCAACCATGGAATGTTACTACAAGCATGTCCTGTAAGCACCTGCTCTTTTCTCTTCTTTCCGAAAAGTGAAGCTCGAGCTAAAACACTCCCATATTGTTTTCATGGATCAATTTGGTAGTAGTGGTTGATATTTTGCTTTGCAGGTCAGTAGGTAAAAAATTGCTCGGCTTGATTGCCTTGGCATTGGATTTAGATGAGGACTTCTTCGAACGAGTTGGAGCTTTGAATGATCCTGCAGCAATTGTTCGCCTCTTACGATACCCAGGTATCTATGTACATCAAATTCTGGTTGGATTGATGTCAAATTCAGTTAGAATTAGATCTTCAAAATGGCAAAGGAACATTTATCTAAACTTATATTAAGCCAGGAGTTCGAGTCAGGTTTTGATCTCTGCTCTTCTTGTATGATATTAGGTGAAGTGATTTCGTCAGATATAGAAACGTATGGTGCCTCAGCTCATTCAGATTATGGAATGGTTACTCTTCTTTTGACTGATGGAGTTCCGGGACTTCAGGTAAATATCACTTGTAGTCATACTCTTCTTCTCCTTTAGTAACCTTATGTACTTGTGCAATCTTAGGTTTGTAGAGACAAATCGAAACAACCACGCGTTTGGGAAGATGTCCCTGGAATTAAAGGGTAATAAGTCAAGCTTTTTTGCGACTGGATTTTCAAGTTTTGTTGAGTAGAAATAATTGTTGAAAATTTATGTAAACCGGGTAGGGCGTTTATAGTCAACATTGGTGATATGATGGAGAGATGGACCAATGGACTCTTCCGGTAAAAACTTTTATTAATCAAGTGAGCTTGGTTTATCAGTTTTGTTTGAAATCAAAACATGATGTGTTTTTTTGTTTTGTTTGTAATGGATTTAGGTCTACATTGCACAGAGTGATGCCTGTGGGAAAAGAACGTTACTCGGTAACATTTTTTGTTGTTTCTAAATTTCTATACAAATTGATAAAGCTTTGGTTAAACTTCTTATTAATTTAATTAAGATTAAGTTTTGTGTAGGTGGTGTTCTTCTTAGATCCAAATCCAGATTGTAATGTGGAATGCTTGGAGAGTTGTTGCAGTGAAACTTGTCCTCCAAGGTATTTATTCTTGAATTTCTCAGTCCTAGACAGGGGGTTTCGGGCTAAATCGCATGTTTATTAAATTTGTGGTCTTGAATGGGAAAAGAACAAAAGTTGAGTCCTTTTCTCGTATTACTAAATTTTTATTGGTGCAGATATCCTCCTATCCTCGCCGGCGACTACCTAAAGGAGCGTTTCAGGCTAACCTACGCCACCTCCTAGTCTGGCTTTTGAGTTTTGTTTTCTGTTATTATATGTGTATTTTTTTTGGTTTCTGATATTCTAAAATGTTGAACTTGATCAGAAACAAAATTGAAGTTCAACAGTTTTTTGTGTTCAAAATTGAAGTTTGATTTGTCTTTCTTAAAATAGTTAGTCAAAGACAAAAAGAAAAAAAAAACTGTTGAACTTGAAGAGAGTTTACGTATTTGGACCATATTAACACGTGGCGAATAATTGTTGGTCAAGGACAAAAATACCGTCTTATTCAATTATAGGTTTTTTTTGTTTGGTTACAAGCTACAGCTATAATACAAAACGATTACCTAGACGCATATTTGACGTCATAATAACAAAACATTATCTTCTTTTTGTCGATTTTTTGTTGTTGTGTCAGCTTCTTGACCGCCATCATGCGTCGGATGATGCATCACCCATCCATAATTCCATATGCATACATTTTTTCTCATATTTAAATATGTTTTTACGGTCGAAGTCACAAAAAAATATGTTTATTTTTAGACGGTTTGATTATATTTAACATCTGATATATTACGGTTGTATTTTCTTTTAATCTTGGTCTTTATGAAATATAAATTATTATAATTATACGTTCCAGGCTGGTCAAAACAAAATCATACATTTCCACTTCTCAATATTCTTTGAATAATAATTACTAATAATTGGAAATAAATCCAATATTGATTCATTTTCCACGTGAGTTTCCTTTTATATATATATGTCTATAGTGAGACCAAGACTGGATCTGAGATAAAACCCGAAATATCTCAATTTTTTTTTTCTTTTTAAACCAATAATTTCCTCAATATTTTATCTGCCAACTACTTCTGCAATAAATCGGTAGAGGCATTGGCTCTGCAATTGTGTGTTTTTGTTATCTTCGGGAGAAAAAAAAAAAATCATTTCACTGAGTTTTCTCGGGAAAATTTTGTAGTGTTTTAGCTACTAGATTCTGGTTTTTGAGAATCATGGAGGGAGTTGATCACCTTGCCGATGAGAGGAACAAGGCGGAGTTCGACGTCGAGGAGATGAAGATCGTCTGGGCTGGCTCCCGCCACGCTTTTGAGGTTTCCGATCGAATTTCTCGCCTCGTCGCTAGCGATCCGGTGAATTCTCTCAATCCTCGTTTGTTTTCTGATATTT